CTGGATTTAAGAATGTTAATTAGTGTTGGTATTTAAACACGCATGCAAACAGATATGTCATTTAAGTAACCACACTTACATACCTTCATCATTGCACTCCTGGCAACGTTCGTCACTCCAGGACGTTCGACTCCCATGTGGAACTGGAGGGGGTCTATGACAGCTGCATTGCGCTTGAATAGGATAGAAGGAGCCACAAAGGAATAGCCCTAAAAAGCGAAAGGAAGGGAAGGAATAAAGACTTGCAACTTTACCATTTAGCACAGACTAGATTGCAATTATTTTTTTTTTCTGAGACAAACACTCAAATATTTGTTGAGATGAATATTATTTTATTTGCTATCCAAAATACAGGATTATCTCAAATCAATTGAAAAATGCTTTTCAGAAGGAGATAATGCCATCTTCTGGTAGAATTAAGCCAATTCCAAAATAAAGGTCGAAAAAGACTTTCTTCATATCCATCCCCAAAATCTGACTTGCAGCTGTACTTCTCCTGCATTGCTGATAAAAGTTCACTTATAAAAAACTAATTTCTCAAAAAAGATACAGTCGCAGTATTAAACAAAATGGTCCAAGTGCTACTGTTTGGTAAACTTGAAAAATATTAATAGCAAGTTTCATTAAAGTTAGTTTCTAATTCAGTCATCATTTGACTCTTACTTATTTCTTCAGAATAATTAAATTTAAAATCAAATGTTGGAAGGGGACAAAATCTAATGGCAGAATGATATGCTGAGCCAAAAGTGGTATAATGATGGATGATTAATCTGTTCAAGCCAGAACATCCACTAGTTCATTAACCTTTTTTTTAAACATCTACTAACCGCCTGGTCATGTGGTAGAAACAGATATGAAATGAAGAAGAGATACAGTCTGGATGGCCAGATTAAACCATACTAAAGGTACACCAGGAGTCAAAGAAGTAAAGCTATGATGCCATTTAATAGTTAGAATATTTTATCTTAAGTCTGATAATGATCCTTTCCTAAATATAAAATCCTTTTTAAATCTTTTGCTAAGAGTTAGCAGTTAAGATTATTCACTGAAGAATTAGATAACGCTGTGAACTAAACTATATATATACATATATAATATATGAATAGAGGTAAAATAAAGTATTATTGTATTTTCTATAAAAGAGCCAGAACAAAAAGAAAATTTCAGGTATAAAATTAAGACTTCCTTATATAAAAAATAAACACATAAATGTCTATTTAGCAAACCGTAAGCTTCAGTTTACAATCTGTAGTTATTTTTGTACTTAGTAATTTTGAAGAGATTAGAGAACTCCATTTTTAAGATGCTAACAAAACTTTAATATGGGAACAAAACTTCACCACAGCCAACACACACAGGCACACAATGGGAGCGTACCTGAAACAGCCTCTCAGAGCTCTGGGGCAGGGCTGCGGGAGAATAGGTGGGATCCATTTCTGTGAATTCTTCTGCAAAGTTACTCACATCTAACTCATCTCGAATGACTGGCTTAAATGGTGCGGGCACTTTTTTGGCAGCTAAATCATCCCAGTTTATTTTCTAGAGCAGAGAAAGAAAATTGATACAGAGTAGAAAGCAACAAAGTCAAAATATATTTTCTTTCTTATTTTTTAGATGATGTTTCCTTCCTTCTCTCTTGAAATATATTTTCTAAAAATAGCAAAGATAAATTAGGGTTTTAATTAATTAATAGGAAGAGAGCTAAAAATAAGGGCATATATTTCAAACCAATAATTAAAAATATTTTTTTCCCAAGCAAGAGCATGTTTTCTGACTAGGTTATAGCTCCAGCCAGTGCTGTGTCTGAAAGCTGAGACTGCTATCTATCACTGTCTGAGTCTCACAGTGTCCTCTGGGGGGCACTAAGACACACTAGTTTACCCGTAGAGATAACAAAAATTACTCTTGTCTTGAGCTTCCTGAGGAAGGCGTTAAGCCAAAAAGAAAACAAACAAAAAACCCCAAACAAAACAAAAAACCACAATAAGGGGGTTCCAAATGCTCTATGGACATGAATAGTAGCTCTAAAGGAATATTCCTATTTTCTAGAGGCAGCGTTACTTAGCTCTCCCCCTGAATCCGCTTTTCCTCCTGGTCATCTGGACAGATTGGAAAATAAACTCACTATAAATCATGCATTTGCTTATATCTGTGAGTTTAAATGACGTGATAGCTCTTTTCTCTTTCAACTGCATTCAAGCATTTTCAACACTGCCTCCTACCTCTCCCACAGAATAATCCAAACCCCCTTTCCACCCATGTCAGACACCTACTGAGTAACTCCTATGTTTTATATTATTCAAATCTAACCCTCTGCAGTTGTTTTATGCTGTCACTTAAAACAATCTCAGATAATACTTACTG